CAGGGTTTCACCATGTTGGCCAAGCTGGTCTGGAACTCCTGACCTCAGGTGATCCGCCTGCCTCGACCTCTCAAAATGATGGGATTACAGGTGTGAGCCATTGTGCCCAGCCCTCTAATCTCTTTTTTTAAAATATTTAAAAACAACTAAGACAATAGAAAACAAATTCCCCAGTGTATGAGGAAAGGTTGCCAAATAGGGAAGGTAATGGCAGAGGGAAGATCCTAGAAAGGATCCTGCTTTTACATCTTCAAATTACAGACAAACCAGCAGGCAGCATATTCATTATTGAGAACAACAGGAACCGTTGATGCACTGGCAGCAGGAACTTCTCTAGACCATTTGGCATCATGGAGAAAAAGGGCTAAGACATACAGTCATGTCATCCAGAAACTATGTGAGGCGCAGTGGAAAGGAGACACTGGTTGGGCTATAGAGTTCCTCATTTACTCCTGTCATTGTGCTAAAAGCTGTGTTGAAGCAGTGGGGAAGAGATGTATTAAATCGGGGATAGCCAATTTAATTATTTGGTAAAAAGTGAGGTCTAAAAGAGCTCCCATTCACTGAACCCTACATGAACTATATTAACTTTTACTATGAGACAAGCAGAATTTCTACTCTTTTTTGGTGCTGCCCCAGCTACTCCCTTATACAACAAAATCAGCAAATCTATCTTCAAATCACAGACAAAGCCAGCAGGTAGCATGATTATTACCCAGAACAATAGGAATAGTACATGCTTTGACAGTGGGAGCTTACAAAGAGAATTCAATCAAAAATGATTCATAATCAAAGAGGAGGGGCCAGGTACAGTGGCTCACACCTGTAATCCCAACAGTTTGGGAGGCTGAGGCAGGAGGATCACTTGAGGTCAGCAGTTCAAGACCAGCCTGGCCAACATGGTGAAACCCCATCTCTACTAAAAATACAAAAAATTGAGCTGGCTTTGGTGGCACATGCCTATAATCTCAGTTACTCGGGAGGCTGAGGCACAAGAATCACTTGAACCTGGGAGACAGAGGTTGCAGTGAGCTGAGATCGCTCCACTGCACTCCAGCGTGGGTGATGGAGTGAGACTCTGTCTCAAAAAGTAATAACGGTAATAGTAATAATAACCAAAGAGGAGCCAACTATGAATCTATACAAAGACACTATAAGGAAAAGAGAAATGTACAAGGAAAAACAAGTGTTAGAGACTATTCACCAAAAAAAATGTAACCCTAGAGCAAATAAAATTAGTGCTATTTCAAATTTAAAACCTTTAAAATGAGAAATTAAAGCAGAAATTTTAAGAGTTCAGGGAAGACAGGGTAAGATATTATAAGAAGATAAAATGGGAGCTATCAGAGTTCAGGTAGGAAATTGAAAAGAAAAAATAAGGCTGTTGGAAATTATGGTGACGATATTAACAGACACAACAAAGAACACTGAATACTTCTGTAAGGACATCAAGGATGGAGATAAGTGAGCAAAAGGAAGTAAAAAGGAACAAATAACGTTTAAAATGTTAGAAAAATTATAGACGCAGAGGAAAAATAAAATATGGAGAGTTGCTGGAAAAAAAATAAGAACAGAACAAATGGAACCTGGAAATAATTTTATAGCTTCATTTTGAGAATGCTTTCGTTAAGAGAGAGAGAGAAAGACATAGCTGGAAATGGAAAGGGAATGCCTTGTCTCAGGAAAAACTGTCACATAATCACTAACACGGAGATATACCTCATTTGATACATTGGGCTTCACTGAAAATTCCTTTGGGCAGCTGGATAAGATCAAGGCCTCCAGTGGGGCAGGAGAAGAGGATCAGTGTGGTCCCAGACTCTCTTACGTCAACATTTAATACTGGCAGATAGTGTGGCAGTAGGTGGTAGTTACTAGGGGAAGTGGACACACCTAACCCCACCTCTTAGAAAGGCTAAAAATAAAAGAATGACAAAAACATATCAAGAAAATAGAAATCAAAAGAAAGCCGTCTGAATTCAGAGCAAAATAAAAATGATAAAAGTAAATAAATTTAATGCAAAAAATACCACTATCATATTATGGGTAAGATGCTCAGTAAACTTATAAAAGTTGTCAAACTTACTATTTCATAATAAGAGAAATGAAAATTAGAACTGCAAAGAAATTTTATCACTTAGATTGGAAACAACCAAAACAACTAAAATGTTTCATAAAACACTCTTACAAATTGAGAGTAGAAAGATAATTTGTAAAATCTCTGTGATGGTTAGTTTGAAAATTTCTCTCCAGCTGTGAATTCCCATGCCCTTTGACCCAACAATTCTACAAGTGTTTTCCTGTGGATTTACTTGCACATTTTGAATGACTTGTGTTCAAGGATTTTCACTGAGGCATCATTTGTAATAGCAAAACATTGTAAACAACAAAATTATTCACCAGTGGGGGCTGCTTGAATAAGTGATGCTATATTCAGATCAATCTAAAAGCCTATCAGTGACAGATTGGATAAAGAAAATGTGGTATATATACACCATGGAATACCATGCAGCCATAAAAAAAGAATGAAGTCTTGTCTTTTGCAGAAACATGGCTGGAGCTGGAGCCTATTATCCTTAGCAAACTAACACAGGAACAGAAAACCAAATATCACATGTTCTCTCTTATAAGTGAGCCAAAAATAATGAGAACTCATGGATACAAAGAAAGGAACAGCAGACACTGGGGCTTCCCTGAGGGTGGAGAGTGGGAGGAGGGAAAGCACCACAAAAGATAACTGTTGGGTGCTGTGCTTAATACCTGAGTGATGAAATAATCTGTACAACAAACCCCCGTGACATGAGTCTACCTATGTAACAGACCTTCACATGTATCCCTGAACCTAAAATAAAAGTTAAATAATAATAATAATTACATATATATGTATATATATATGTATATATATATATAAAATGTAAAAAACAAAGGTACATAAATATCTCTGGAAAAATATATAATGAAATCCCAGCATCGCCTCTGGGGAGAAAAACTGGGTGGCTGAGGTAGATAGGTGAGAAGCTGACTTACTTTAAAACAAATAGTTTGAAATGCTCTCAACTAAAAGTTTCAAGAATTTCTTTTTTCCGAACTATTTCAGAGTAAGATATCAACGTAATTACTAATGTTACTCCTATCAACCCCATATACTTTCTTGTGTGTTCTTCACAAACAAGACATTCTCCTACAAAACCACAACATTGCCCTCAAAATCATGAAGTTAACCTTGATATTCCATCTAATCCTCAGATCCAGTTTAAATGTCATTGTCCCAGTACTGTGCTTTTTTATAACAATTCATTAATAAGATGATTCAGGCTAGCTTCATGCATCACATTTAGTTGTCATGTCTCCTTCAAGCTAGAATGGTTTCTCAGGTTTCTTTGACTTTCATGATCTTGATACTTTTGAAAATTATCAACCAATTATTTTTAAGAAAGTACCTCAATTTAAGTTTGATGTTTCCTCATGCTTAGATTCAGGTTATACACTTTGGCTGGAAACCACAGAAGTGACAACACTCTATTCTTTTCATTGTATCAGCTGGCACATAATTTCAATTATGCCTATTACCGGTGATGTTAACTTTAACCACTTGATTAAGGTGGCATTTGCCAGTCTTTTCTACTATAAAGTTATACTTTTTCTTGTTAAATAGTAAATAGTTTATAGTAAAGTACTGTTAAAATATTCCATATCTCATTAAGCAATTTATTAACTTATTTATATGTATCAATGTAGACTTCTGGATTTTTATTTTATAGTACAGTGGGCTATGATTTACTATTATTATTATTACTTATTTTGATACTTAGGTTTTCCCTGATTTGGCCAGTAGTCATGTAATTACTAATTTAATCAATACTTCTATGTGAGATCGATCTCCTATCAAAGCTACTGTGCACCCCCTACCTTCCCAGTCCCCAAGAAGATACCCTTTTCCCCATTCAGGCTTTGACATTTTGTGCCACGTGCTGCACTGCATCTTCACCCCACCTGAGCTTCATCACCCATGCCAACCTGTCCTGTCATCCTCCTAGAGAGGTGCCCCCATCTGGGTCTCCAATACCTCATACCAGGCCACCACTGTCACCTACTATATAGAAGCCCTCCTTACCCCTCTTGGGCACTGACACCATGCCAGATGCCTACCTCAACTCATCCAGGCTCCAGGACCCTGCATGAGGCCACCCTACCAGACAGGTGCCTCACTTACCCCACTCATACCCTGACACCCTGTTCCAGCCAGCATCACCACCTCATGACACCCGTGCTGGCTACCCTGCTCACTCCACTTGGGCTGCAGTGTCCTGCACTAGGGTTACCAAGGCTCTCCCAACCCTATATATGGAGAGCCACTTTGCTCAGCCTCACCTATTGGCTTTCAGACTGAATGATTCTGGTAGGGAGAGACGAGAAAGAAAAAGTAGAGAAATAGAAGACCAAGAACAGAAGGCTGGATTTTCTCTGCTTACCCTTCTGTTTAATTTTATGCTATGTGTGAATCATCTATTCAAGAAATAAACTTTTTTCAATAATTATAACTGAAACCTTAAAAACAAGGGACAGAGTAGTGTGAATGAACTTTTTATTGTTCAGAGCAAAGTATAGATGTAGGAGATAATACATGAAGTTCACAAATAAGGAAATAGAAGCATAAGCATATTATTAGATTTTGGTGGTAGCAATTAGAACTAAAACCAGAAATTGCCATAAAAGGAAGGTTATCTTGGAAGGTGGAGGGAATCATAGGAAGGGGTGGAGCAGACAGCTGTTCTTTTTCGGTGTAAACTCTTCTGTACTCTTCTATCTATTTCTGTAATTATAGTTCATTTAGTTAATTGTTTTCCTCTTTGTGGTTCTGCTTTTCCTTTTTCATTTTGAAATTTTTCTTCACTTGAGATCAGATATTCACTTAAATCTTCATTATGTTATTTAAATCTTTGCTGCATCTTGAATTTATGTTGATATGTAATAATGACGAGTATCTTATTAATTTACAGAAAGACAGCACACTGGATGCTGCTGAAGAAATCATCAAGGCATGGAGTGTCCAGAAGTCTTGATATGTGCAGAATGGATTAATGTTTCTATTAGAGGACCTGGGATGGAATTGTTACCTAGTGCTGCCACCTGCTGGATGTTATAAGATATTTCAGTACAACTGGAATTAAACTTATTTCCATTGTTTTTCCAAAGCGGTTAACCCAACTCCTAACAATACTCAGGAGATCTGACCTTTTTTTTTTTTTTTTTTTCAGTTGAAATGTATTAACACATCTTCCAATATCATTTTGTAAGAGTCAGCATAACATAGTGGGTAAGAACTTTGAGATGTTTAACCTCTCTGTAACTCAGTTCAATCACTGTAAAATGGGGATTAAAAACAGCACCTGATTCATATGAGGGTCGTTTGTGAGGATTAAATGGACTAATGTATGCAAAGCCTGGCAAACAATAAACACTCAGCTGACTTTAGCCAGTTTCATGCTTCTGCCACCGTGTAAGAACTAACCAGTTCCACGCCTCTACCACATGTATTTGTTTTGTGTACCCACCATCCCCTTCATTCACCAATGGCCTTGAACTCTGTTCACGGTTTTGCCTCATACCCCAAGTACTGCTGTTATTTGCGGTGGCTTCAAGGTCCACAAGGACTAGCCAGGCTTTCTGTACTTTGAGCTCCTCACCTCTGGTGTTCACCTCCCCTGGAGTTCATCCACCCACTGCCTTGGTCACTCCCTGAGGCTTTTATCATTCAAGTCTGCTTCACCTTTTGAGGTCACAAATTCATCATCTCTGTCCTTCTAATTTATGCTTGCTGTCTTGTGTACATGTTCTCCCTTTTTTTCTCTCTCTCTGTCCCTCTGTCTCCTCCCTCTCCTTCTCAGCTCTTTTCAAATATCACTTCTTGGCCAGGCACAGTGCCTCACGCCTGTAATCTCAGCACTTTGGGAGGCCAAGGCCAGTGGATCACTTTTTGAAGTCAGGAGTTCAAGACCAGGCTGGCCAACATGGTGAAACCCCATCTCTACTAAAAATACAAAAAAATTAGCCGGCCATGGTGGTACATGCAGGTAATCCCAGCTACTTGGGAGGCTGAGGCAGGAGAATCGCTCAAACCTGGGAGACAGAGGTTGCAGTGAGCCAACATTGTGCCACTGCACTCCAGCCTGGGCAACAGAGTAAAACTCTAAAAAAAAAAAGTCACTTCTTTAAACTTACTACCATTTCAATCTGCTATTTCACAAAAAAATTGGTCTGTGACCTTCTTACTTTAGAATCTACTAGGATCCTTGTCATAGAAAGAGATTCTGGTCATCACCCCAGACCTAATGAATAATAATTTCAGGATCTAACCCTCCAGATGATACTTACACACATGAAAGTTTGATCATTACTCTTGTAGTTTGTAGAATCCTCCATCTTATTTTTATTGGTTCCCTTAAATCTTCACTCCCTCATCTAGCCTTGACTTCATTGTCTATCACTTCAGCCAAGATGCTTTTGTTGCCTTGAATTATTTCCACCATTGTTCTATCTCTGCTTGTCAAAAAGAAAGAACTCAACCCTGGGGTTGGAGCTCCATGCCTGCGATTGGGCTGTACCTTGCACAGTTGGGCAGGCTCTAGCAACTGGAATTCACATCACTGACATAAACTAGACATAATTCAATGTTCCCCTACCTTTTACAACAGCAGCAATTACTATCATTCCCCTATATATTTATTTTGTTTTGTTTTGAGATGGAGTCTCACTCTTGCCAAGTCTGGGGTACAGTGGCGCAATCTCAGCTCACTGCAACCTCCACCTCCCAGGTTCAAGCAACTCTCATGCCTCAGCCATCCAAGTAGCTGGGATTACAAGTGTGTGCCACCACACCTGGCTGATTTTTGTATTTTTAGTAGAAACAGGTTTTATCACGTTGACCAGCCTGGTCTCAAACTCCCGGCCTCAAGTGATCCACTCACCTCGGCCTTCCAAAGTGCTGGAATTACAGGCACGAACCACCTCACCCAACCAATTCTCCTTTTTTTTTTTTTTTTGAGACGGCGTTTCACTCTTGTTACCCAGGCTGGAGTGCAATGGCGCGATCTCTGCTCACTGCAACCTCCACCTCCTGGGTTCAGGCAATTCTCCTGCCTCAGCCTCCTGAGTAGTTGGGATTATAGGCATGCGCCACTATGCCCAGCTAATTTTTTGTATTTTTAGTAGAGACGGGGTTTCACCATGTTGACCAGGAGGGTCTCGATCTCTTGATCTCATGATCCACCTGCCTCAGCCTCCCAAAGTGCTGGGATTATAGGCGTGAGCCACCGCGCCCAGCCCCCATATTTCTAATAACAAAAATACATTACCTCGATTCTCACCTCAAAGCCCACCACCAGTCTCATGATTAAATCATACCAAATGACTTCAACCCCACTTCTGTCAAAAATGAAATGAAAATACAAGCTAGCAAACCAGCTTCCAGCTAGGATTGTACCACTAATCGTGTGATTGTCTGCATCATCATCCTTCTATCTCTCCAGTTATAATGGTCATTCATCTTTGACCTGTCCAAGGCTGACAGGTTAGTGGTGGCAGCAGAGTAAAGAGAACTGTTGGTTTAAAAATTACCAGGCCCAGCCATCTAGAAGGAAGCTCAGGGCCCAAAGAGCCAACAGTAACAGTAGCAATAGAAACCCCTTGGAACCTGTTTAGCCTGTCCACCCTTGCTAGGAACTTGACAAAATTTCCACCAGGGTTTAAAGCAGGTTTTTGCCTCCCTGAGCTTGTCTAAGGCTAATTCTACCACCTATGCTCTGGATCTTGTTTCCTCGCACACTCTCAGAATCAGCTCAGTCTACGCTCTTGGACCTTCAGTCTCTCTAGCTCCCTTCAGAAGTGGGACATGTTCAAATCTCTCTCATCTTAGAAAATTCTTTCACTGATTAAGTCTATGTACTAACCTGCTATCTCTTCCCATTCAGGGCAAAATTCCTTCTATCTTGCCTTTCTCTCCTTCTCCTCCCTCCATTCCTTTTCTTCATTCCTATCTTCTTTATTTCTTCCCTCTCTGCCTCCCTCCTTCCCCTGCTTTTTCCCTCCCTCCTCTCTTTTCCCTTCTTTTCCTCCTTCCTTTCATAAGTATCACTTGAACATCTGCTATGTGCCAGGTACTCTTGTAGGCACTTAGTATATATCAGTGAACAAACATTAAAAATTCCTGTCCTCTAGGGCTTTTCATCTAGCCAGGGGAGGGAGATTAAGTCATAAACATGATAAAATATATTGTATATAAATGTGTGCATAATTGTATGAAGAAAAGAAGTAGAGCGGGATGAAAGAGGATGACTATTACAGAAGCAAATTGAAATTTAAAACAGGGTGGTGAGAAAAGGCCTCATGGAGGGGACATGGAAGCAGATTTAAAGGAGGGGAGGGAGACAGCCTTGTGCGGATCTTGGGAAGAATAGACGGTGCAGTTATTCTAAGACAGGAGGGTGCCTGGCATGTCTGATGAGTACTAAGAGTCTGGTATGACTGGATGGAATAACCAAGGGGGAGAGTAGTAGGTATTACATCAGAGAAGTAGCATAGGACCTCGAGGACTATTATAAGGATGATGGCTTAATCCAAAGAATCAGGGTATTGTTCAATTTTTTTTTTAAATATGTAAAATGCCAGCTGGTGTCGTGGCTCACACCTGTAATCTCAGCACTTTGGGACGCTGAGGCAGGAGGATCATTTGAGGCCATGAGTTCAAAACCAGCCTGGGCAACAGAGCGAGACCTCATTTCCACACAAAAAAATTTTTAATTATCTAGTCATGTTGGTGTGCTCCTGTAGTCTCAGCTACTTGGGAGACTGAGGTGGTAGGATTGCTTGTACCCAGGAGGTGGTGGCTACAGTGAGCTGTGATCACACAACTGCACTCTAGTCTGGGAAACAAAGCAAGACCCTGTCTCAAAACAATAATAGTAATAATGTCTGTTGCAGCATTGTATATAAATACTTGAAATGGGAAACAACCAAAATATCCACCAATAGTCTAATAATTAATTTAGGGAGTATATTCATACAATGGAATATCATAGAGCAATGAAAATTAAGGAAGTACAGCTACACACAATAACCTGAGTGAATTTCATCAACACTGTTGTCATAGGGTTTCTTCACAGTACCTTCAAATAATCAGCTAGAGCTCTCAGTAGACAGTATTCTGCAATACTAGAATCTAGTGCTGTGAACATTGAAGTTTTACATGTCAACCCCAACCTCAGGGCTTCTGGAATTTCTGTGTGCACCCTGGGGTGAGGGTTTCCATAGTTTGGTCCAACAGGCCTAAGACTAGCCCATGGGAAACTCCATGTCTGCGTGATTCAAGAGACAGAATTATTATCTTTTGCACTGAGCTCTGATGAGGAGACCTAAGTTGGGGAGGAGGAGGGAATGGATTGTAAATATGAGGTCTGTGGGTTAATAGTGCAATATTGAATGAAGAAATTTTTTTTCAGACATAAGAATTTTATTAAGGAAAGGCTCACAGATACACCCATAAATGAATGGGAGGTGGTTGGGGAAAGGGATGAAGCTCAGCAAATGTGTGATTTCATGTGAAGTCCCGGCTTGGCCTGACTGCCAGGGGACGGACTTATGGAGCATAAATTATGCCTCAGAGTGTGTGCCTTCTTGTGAAGGGAGCTGGGCTTTTGACTCCTAACCCAGTCAGTCAGTGGCCTCAGCCAAGAGGAGTGGGAGGTGGAGTGGCCACAGGCACATAAAACTCCCAGAGCCTGCTGGCTTTCTATATGGGCAGACTGGCTCCAACATCAGGTCACAGATAACAGCTTTAACCACAAATCACTTAGTTAAGATTGAGCATAGAGTGCTGGCAAGAGATCCTAGGGGATCTGGATGGCTGCCAACAGTACTGGTCACAACCTATACTTCCAATACCACCTGCTCACCACCAGGCACCAGTTGTGGGTCTTTCATAGCACGCTGCCATAAGAGAAAATTAATAATACCTTTTGAAAGCTCTGGGTTGGCTTTTCATCATCTACAGACGTACTTCTTTCCTCCAGTGAGTAGAAGTGAGTGTCCCTCTGCAAGAATGAGCAGCCATCAAAGTTAAAGGTGACCTGGGACATTTGAAAACTATGCAGGGCAGGCCAGGCATGGTGGCTCACACTTGTAATCCCAGCACTTTGAGAGGCCAAGACGGGCAGATCACCTGAGGTCGGGAGTTCAAGACCAGCCTGGCCAACGTGGAGAAACTCTATCTCTACTAAAAACACACACAAAAACATTAGCCCGGCATGTGGCATGCACTGGTAGTCCAGCTACTTGGGAGGCTGGGGCAGGAGGGTCTCTTGAACCCAGGAGGAGGAGGTTGCAGTGAGCTGAGATCACACCATTACGTTACAGCCTTGACAAGAGCAAAACTTAGTCTCAAAAAAAAAAAAAAAAAAAAAAAAAAAAGAGTCCAGGAG